TTTTTGGAGTGTCTTTTTTTTTTTTTTTAAATCCATGAAGTGGAGTTAAAAAATCATATCAAGTGGAGGGAGACAAAAAAATAAAAAATCAGTTTTGTTTTTAACAGAACTAGCTATGTGTGGTTTGTGGAAGGCTCTTTTGAACCTGCAGTTGGAAAGGAGGCGAGGTCAGCGAGTTGCTTCGGCTTGATTTTGGCTTCCTGCTGCATAAAGAGCCTCTGTCTTTGTTGTGTTTGCAGGTTTGTCTCAGATTTTTTATAAAAATGTCTGAATGTTTTGGTTTGATGAGGCTCTCAGAATAAATGGCTCATATCAAACCACTTGCCAGCTAATTATTTAAATGCTATTAGTGGGTGATAAGTTCATGATAGATCTGCAGTCATCTATAATCATAAATGTGAAAACACGTAATTTCTAACTCGTTTGTCAGGAAACATTTTGATTAACGATAATGTTGTCTTGTGATTAGTGGTAATTTCTTACAACCAGCAGGAAATGTTCTACTTGTCGTTACAGCTCCACATGTTAAGTCAATTATTGTCAATCACACCCATAATTGCTTTAGGATTTTTGCTCATATTCATTGCAAAACACTTAATGCATAGAGTATTCTGTGTACATTAACATGTCCACAGAAAATGCTTTTATTAAGTCCGTCAGGAAAATCGCTAAAGTGGTTTTCTGTACTAACGTGTGTGAAACATAAAATTAACTATATTTATTCGTCTGGTTTGAACCCCACATAAAAGACCTTCCCCAAAAAAGCAATAGGACATGTTAATATGTTATAAATGCTTTAAGTGAAGATGCTTGAATATTTAATAACACTAGACTTTGCCTTATCCCATACATGTACTTTAATGTGATGTTTATACATACTATAACGATGCAACCGAAGGGGTTGTATTTGTTAGATATGCATGACATAAAAAGACATTGATACAAAAACTGGAACCAAACAATCAATAATTGTAATTTTAAAGGCGATCAGAAAATCCAACCCAGTCTCACAATAAAACGTGTAATAACTAGGTTGGTCCACAATGTAGGACGTAGTATTTCTAAAAAAACGCTTCTGAAATTGTAGGATCCCTACGTTTTTTTTCACCATTCATTCCTGGTGCTATGACGCCATGCTGGCGTCTATGTCACGTGATCTTCACATTCCTGCCTGCAGAAAAAATAACATGGCCGAACTTCGTTTTATTCTCGGTGGAAAATGCCTATTTTAAAGTCAGTTTGGCCATTAAAATGCGTTTTGATGTCATTTGATACGAGAAATATGAGTTGTTATTTCAGATTATGTGTGCAGTGGATGTACATGATCTTTAGTTTGCTAGTTACGAAGATTACTTCAGGAAATTGTGTCCATACAGTACAACGTTTTCATTGTTACCAAGTTGGTTGCTAGGGACGCTGCTATCGATATTATTTCTGTTATGTTGTGTAACTGTTTAATGGTGTTATCTTTATTGCTACCCCCTTCCCTGTCAATGTATAGTGTTGGGTTACAGCGCAAACGTATTAGTTTAACAAAATCTGCATCTAAAATGGTGGCATAGATACATAGTTATTTTCCCCTGTGCAATTCTCCATTTACTCAACAATAACACATACAAACGTAGGGATCTTACAATTTCAGAGGCGTTTTTGTAGAAATACTACGTCCCAAGTTGTGGACCAACCTAGTTATTACACGTTTTTTTATGAGACTGGGTTGAGAAAGTAATGAAGTGTTTATTTAACTGATGGCCTCTTATTTGGAAGACTTCTCTTTATAAAGTATGTGATTTCTTTGTTTATATTAGTTCACATATGTAACTGTTTTCAGAGCACCTTGACTTACATAAAGGAACGTAAAGTCCCTTTAAGTCGTTGCAAGTTTTACATTCAGGGTTACAAGTTTTATCTGACTTTTTTTCCTCAAGTTGAACTCATATTTGTCAAGCTTGTTTGCCTGCTTTGATGATGATGATAACACCTAGTACCACATGTCTTCTTCCCCCCAGAGATCGGACGCAGATTTTGAATTAATTATAGCTCATTAGGCCACTCAGGAAATTCATATTTACAGCTATCGCAAGGAAAGAAAACCTCAAAAAGCCAAAATCAAAACATGAGTTTTGGAACATATTAACACATTGAGTTATATCCTGCAAATCCTCTAAACCAGAAGACATCATTTCATGCTACTTGTGAAGATGTTTTGGCTCAGAATGTTTGAGTTGTTTTTGAGTGATCATTACTTATTTGTGTTATGGTGTTTTAATAATCTTGTAGATAAGCAGTTGTTTTTATGATAACTGGCTGTAAACACAAACCTTTAGTGGCCTGAGGCTTATTTTTCCCTTTACTGTTATTACATAAATCAAAGTATAAATCTGACAAATTGCGATTCAAAGAGCCCAGTGTAGAAAGAAGGATAAACCTGTAGAATAATGCTTGCTGTTGCACTGTGGTTTCTGTCAGCATGCAAACACAATGTCTATTTGTTTGACAAGAATCTTGACATGTTTCAACAAAAACAGTCTCTGAGATTCAGGTTTCTGTTGAAGAATGACCTATTAATGAACCATCACCTCTAACCATAGAGTGCAACAACAAAACAAGCTGACACCCTCACATTTTGAAGCACAGCGAGCTTCAGACTTGAGAGTGTCTGAGAGGTTATTTCACCACTCAAGCTTGGAGTGGGGAACAACAACAGCAGCATGGCAAAACTCACTCACCTGTGTGTGCTGCTTTTGTGGGCAGGCCAAAAACCAGGTCAGTGTGAATCAGGCATGTTACAAAACGTGTTGGCTTTCTAGGTTCGTTTCTTTAGGTATCCATTTGAAAAGTTTTAAATGACATTTGAAGTGAAATATAAGTCTATAACAATGATTGAATTGGTGCAAAAGTCTGGCTTCTGCTCCAATTAATTGAAGTACAAGATTTAGCTATACAAACTTTTCTTTAGACCTTAACTTTTTTGTTTGATGATCTTTTTTGTCGTCTCTGCTCCACTGTGAGTTCCTGAGTGTTTTGCTTATCATATCTGCAGTATTTCATCATCGCACTTAATAATCACTTCGTCACACATAGCCAGACAAGTGCCACAATCAAAAAGAAACTGCAATGCCGTTGAAATCTGTTGCTACTCCAGAGTGTCTGCATTCGTCTTTGTTTGAAAAGAAAACAGCTTTTGTCGTTAGGTGCTGTTTATTGCATTAGGAGCCATTCAATAAGTGTTTTGAGCATTATGGTAAAGTGAAATTCAATTGTGTGCTTCAGAGTTTTCTGTCTGTTCTCCGTCCCAGTTGTCACTCAGGAATACTAAACGCACATTTAAAGTATTTGTAGTTGACCTGCGGGTCTGCTCTGCACTTTTAAAAGTTCCTTGTATGACATGTTGTATTAATGGGTCCGTCTTTAGCCCTGACAGCTACCCCAGAGGGACTGCTGGTGAGACAGCAACCCCCCTCTCTCAGTGTGATGCGGGGTGAAACGGCAACCCTCTCCTGTCATTTCAAAGTTGAATCCCTGAAGTATGGGGTTCAGTGGTTCAAAATGAAGTCGGAAAAGCAGCTCATCCCAAAGTCATCCAGGCAGTTCGTTGTGGAGAAGAATCAAACGTCCTCCCTGGTGATCGCTGAGGTAACACTGGAGGATTCTGGGTGGTATTACTGCGAGGTCAACGTCCTAAAGAAAGACCCAGAGTTGGGCAACGGGACCGAGCTGGTTGTGTTAGGTAAGAAACCAATTCATCATTGCAGAACTTCCTCAGAGTTGCTGTGCATGTGTGATGTTGCAATGCTGCTAATTATGTCTCATATGTCTTTTGTGAGGCTTGAGGCTCCATACAAGCGTCTGTTTAGACCAGAGGTGTCAAACTCAAATACATAGTGGGCCAAAATAAAAAAATCGGCACTAGTTAAGGGCCGGACTGGTTCAATGTTTATTGCAAAACTTATTGAAATTAACTTATTGCACATATTAAACCTGGAACTAACA